CCATCGAGGATAAAATTTATTATCAACTGTCAAATCTTTAGAACATGCAGGGAAGAGGGCAATATGAAACATTGCAATGATTCTTTTAAAAAAAAAATCGTCTTAGCTCACCAGGTCAGTCGATAGATTAAATATTTTATTTGGCCTATGCATGTTTGTTCGTTTGTATTTTTGTTTACATGTCAGGTGAAAATTTTTTGACATTTTCTACCGTACTTTTTTCATCAAACTTGGGAACATTAAAATTCAGTGCAAAGACCTATCAAGGGAAGATAAAAAAAAAATTAAAGAATAAATAAAGAATTATGAAATGGGGCAGGGGTCATTTTAAAAATCTTCCAAAATCCACTACATCAGGTTAGAAAGGAATATCTATGAAGAACCCAGAAGCTAATATGAGGATAAAAAAAGTTAAAGTTCGCAATATAAACAGCAGAGCCACAATGAGTGAAATTGATATGAAAGCAGTATTTTTGTATTCGAAAGTGTTCAAACAATGCCCCCAGAGGTAAAGAGACCATATTTTAGGGTTTAAATTTTTCATAAAAATGATGTATATAAAGAAAATATTAATTTAAAAATAAGAATGATTTTTTGTTCTGAAGATTAGCAAGACATATTTATTCTTATAAAATTTACAAGCATACTTAAAAAGGAACTATTTTTAAAATTACTATCCTTGGTCCCATGTAAGGCATGATTTGGGGTTAAATTCAAAGTTGCTTTAATTCGTGTAAAATTTTAAAAAATATATTCTTTTTTAAAGTTTTCGTGGAAAATTTTTCTGAGAGATTGCACATCTTCATATAGCGGAAATAAATAGAGAATAATACATGGCAAAATCTGTATCACACCCCATATCAACCCGAGACTCCAATATCAGCCCGAGGGCCGAAGGCCAGAGGGCTGATATTGGTCGAGGGTTGATATGGGGTGTGATACAGATTTTGCCTTGTATTGTTGTTTTTATTATATATTTGAAAATAAAGTCTAAAAATCATATATAAACTTGTAAATTAATTACTGAATTTTTAATAATTGAATGTGTTCTGTTTTTGTTGAATTTCCGTTTCTCAATCTTTTTTAAAGGCAAATAAATGCATTCAGTAATAAGAAATGAAATTATTATATATCAAACAAATAATTATTTTGAATAACATAAAATGTCTGATGAAATAAAATTTCAATTTGAATAAACTTTGGAAAGAAATAGGAAAAGATCCGAGGTACTCCGAATGAAAAATACAGAGATGTTCCGGAAAGGTGTGATAAAGGGTGAAATAAAGGGTGCTGATACAGGGTGTGTAATACAGGGCGCGTGCCTGTGTTCATATTAGGGATGCAAAAATCCTGTATTATATAACAAATATATAATAAAACTTTGTAAGAGTCATCTGCCCTCATGATCAGGAGTCAGAAAGGAGCCACAGTATGTTCACATACTTTGTATACTAGTTACAAATTAAAATATATCTTATATGCCTTTCTCGAGCACTCAAAGACATTTTTATAAAATTTGATGCCAGCAATGCTACATGTATATGTATTGTAAATCAATGTACATGTACTTCAAGTTGAAACCGTGGACTTAGGTTTTATTTATCTACATATTTATTTGTTAAAATTAGAGGAAATCACTGTGGCCCATAGGCCTCTAATCATAAAAGTAATTATATGTAATATGACCTTAAACAGCTGTGAATATATCGTATAATCGACGATTTACTTTAGTTCTTTTCAAATCTAAAGGAGTGTTCGTCTAGTGCAAAGGCAAATTGCATAATATAAATAAAAGAACATGCAGTATTATTAGATAGTGATCTGATAATAGTTTGGGTTGTTTGAATGTTATTGATGACGTTGAATCAGTCTTGTTAGCATATTAAACATATGACATTTAAAACTGCACTGCATTAGCAGAAAAGAGTAAGGAAAAGTTACTACAGAGAACCTGTCAATCATAATAGAATCAGGTGTATGAACTCTTTTTTCTTTCAACTAAGAAACTTGCACATGTACTAGAGCTTTTTAAAAATAAAAAAAAAATTCTTTCCAAAGCATTCATTCAGAAGTCAAATTAAATTTAAATGCATTATTTTTGGAAGTTAACCTTGAGTTACCAATTACTAAAGTTAAATGATCTTTGAACATCTGTCATTAAGATTTTAACTAAATGAAAATGAGAATCTGAGATAAAATCAGTTAATTTCTTCACAAAGCCTTATTTTTGGTCATATATTTTTTTCTTTAACATATAGTAGAATAACCTCAATTATACATTTGTTACTTGTTTCCGTTTTTTGGTAACACTTATTTCACTCAATTTAAATGTGTAAATTATTTACGAATCCAGTGACTTTCATTTAAAAATTCTTTCAAAGCTAAACAAGAAGCCCATGGGCCACAACGCTCACCTGAGTTTATATGACCCTGTTGTTCTTCATCAGATTTTTTTCCCTCCTATATACATGTATATTACTATGTAAATCTTTGATCCCCCTTTATGCCCCCCCCCCCCCTTACCCCAGGTGTTATGATTTGAACAAAGTTTAATCTAAACTACCCGAGGAGACTTCCATATTCACATGACTAATCATGGTTTTGGTGGGTTTTTTTGTGAAAAGAGGGTTTTAAAAGACGTGGCCCAATCCTGCCTCTTGGGGTCATGATTTAAACAAACTTGAATCTACAATACCTGAGGATGCTTCCACATCAATATGACTAATCGTAGCCTTGCTGTTCATAAGAAGATTTTTAAATATTTTCCCTATACTCCTATGTTAAACTTTGATCTCCCCTTGTGGTCCCACCCTACCCCCGGGGGTCATGATTTGAACAAATTTAAATGTACACTATGTAATAAAGGTTCCACATATGATTCATTTTCTGGCTCAGTGGTTCTTGAGAAAAATTTTTTTAAATGATGGCAATTTTCATTCATTCTTAATTATTTCCCTTTGAATAATAGTAAGGTCTTTGATATGATCCCCTTCACCCAAGGATGCTTTGTTCAAAGTTTGTTTGAAATTTGCCCATTGGTTTTGGAGAAAAAGTCGAAAATGTGAAAGGTTTACAGACGGATGGACGGACAGACAAACAGCTAGACAGACAGACGGACGCCGTACAAAACGTGATAAAAAAGGCTGACTTGAGCTTTCAGGTGAGCTAAAAGCGAAATCTAAACCTGAATAAAACTTACAGCTTTGATCTCGTTTTTCATTTGAATAGCTCAGTCAATTTCATACAAGAGAGCATGATACTCAAAACAAATTTTACTTTTTTCTTTTCTTCTCTCTCTCTTTCTTTCTCTCTTGCCATATCAAATAACTCGTTTCCACATGTAATACCCGAAGCAAAATAAATTAGTTAATGATTTAATGCATTGGTAGTGGACACCATCGTATCAATGATATAAATCTATCATTAATAAAGAACCATGCTGAGATTTATAATACAGCATCTACTTCGTATAAATGCTGTAAATTCTATGATTTATGATATTAATAATGGTTTGAATATGTACAAATCCGTTCTATGATAAGAGTATTTAGAATTTAAATATTTATAGATGCAAAGTTAATGTGTATGATAATTGGATTCTATTTCAATAGCGGCTATTACAATGCATATTTATTTCTTTTAGTAGGATAACAAAATAGTGTAAAATAAATTAGTAAAATAAAGTATTTACAATTTCTGTTTCATTTCTTTAATATTCGTACAGTGTAGATTAATTATGAGGTTGTGGTTTATATTTCAAGCGCGCATGTACTGCCTTGACCGCAATGCACACATTTTAATTGCTAGAAGAATACAGAAATGTTAATTATAATTTTTTTAATTTTATTTCTGAATTATACACCTTAATATGTTATTATATCCAGGATTAGTTGATTTTATTGGCCAATCTCTATAAAATATAATTTGAAAACTTAAGTATTCCATATATGTAAGTTTTCACATTTTTTTAACAGTTACAAAACATGCAACCAGACCCATTCCTTGGAAAGGAAAGAACAAATTTTTTTACCACAAAACGAGTTAAGTATTCAAATTATCAAAATTCTTATGATTAAGAAGCAAATATGAACATTAGATATACAATGTATTTGTTCTAGTAGGATAATGTTAATTCATTAAATATCGAATGAAATTTCAACCATAGTGCTCTAGAATTCATATATATTATAGTTATGGAACAAGATTTAGTCAAATATTAAGGATTCTTACAAATGTGTGACAAAATTTGGTTCAAAACGCTGCTAAAATATTTTTACTCGAATCTTGTAAAAGATCTAGAATCTAATCTGATCTGGAAACCTTAGTAGTGTTTAACTGAAAGCAAGGAAGCAGAACAAAACAAAAACAAGCAAATCTTACTCACAGTTTACATATCTCGGAATCTGAGCGTGTTCCCGTGGCTCTCGTGAAGAGTTATCGGCATTATGTGGAATATTATGTCATTGAGCATTGTAATCGAGGGATCGATTAATTGAGAATGATTCATTTACAAATTTACGCGCTTTGTCTTGTAACGTTCGGGCTTTGAGGCGCTGGAGCTGTCATTTTTGACAAAAATCTGGCTTAGGTGACAATTTAAACAGGATATCTAAAATTGTCTTTCTAGAAAGCGATACGAAGGTCTAGGTTCGCGGACAGCAATTTGAGAGACAATATCACAACTCAAAACAAATATTATTTCTAAATGTACGGTTTTTACAAAGAATTGACCTTGCAGTGGAAACCCTAAATAATATGTACCCAAGATAATATTTGAACATACAAGTTCCTCTTGTCGACATGTGAAATTGGCTATCGTTGTCAAGCATAAAGAAACATCGTATTCTTTGAATGGGTGAAATTTACAAATCTGGACCAATGTATATCACGTCTCAGTGCCATTGAAATCTACATTAAAGCTCTCATACTCTAAAATTGCATTATCACTGTTGTTAAAAGCTGGATAATTATTGTGTAGAATTGTTAAATCGTTGGCTTACCTACTAACATAAAGGGGGACTTTGACGGCCATTTAGGTACCATTGAAAAAGATTTGTCCTATATTTTCCTCTTGCGTTTTACAGCATCGTTTGACGTCATCAGCCATCTTCAATCCACTTTGTAATTAAAGCTTTCATTTAATTGTCACACATCTGCAAAAAAGTCATATGGAAATGCAGATTAGAGCAACGCAGCCTGGTGTTAGAAATTCCGTACTGCAAGTATGACGTTGTTAGTGAGCGTAAAACTGTCAATGAATGAAATCTTTTGGTGAAATGTCTTTGAACTCATTTTACTTTGAAATATAGTAACTGCTCTTTGAAGACACCTTTCATGTTTTTTTCCCGTTCTTTGTGGTATTTCTCACAATCTTGAAATTTGTAAAAATGCTTAGGACAATTATATAGGATACATTGATTTCTTTTTTCAGAATAAGATGTTGATTTTACTTTGAGGAGTAACTATCAGAATTTCAAAATTCTAAGGATATTCAGGGAAAAAAATCTTTAAAGATATATTTTAAGACTGTAAGGTTAATTCAATCTCTTGCAACGAATGCTCTCATGAAATTGAAAGACTCCGTATACATGTACCGTCAACTATCAAACGTTACATTATAATTGTAATTTTATCAAAACTGTTGTCTGAAATTTAATTTTTAGTAAAATTCCTCATCGTAATTAAGTAGAACACAGTACGGAGACGGCTATTACAGTAAGAATTTTAAGTTACCTTCAGTGTAAAATATATAATTTGTCTATATATATTAATTTTCTACTACACAAATCAAGAGCAATAAACAAAACAGATATCATTTATTGCAAAAAGAAAAAAAAAGAAAAACAATTATTTATTAGCCTATAAATCGTCGATTTCAAGTCCTAAATCAAAGATTTCCACAATACAATGATGCTTTGTGACTGTCTATTTCATTTTCATTTTGCATTTTACTTTAATGTTTACAATGGACGGAAGATTTAAATCCCACACGCGAGCTGTTCCGTTATTTATGGACTGTCACAGTTATGAGGAGTGGCTAAATACCTGATACAGATTGTAAATATGCAAATGGACCCTCAGGTGGTAAGGTTTAAATTGTAGCTGAAAAGGAAAGGAAAAATCCCACAGTTCTACGTGCGAATTCATGACATAATTTTATACCATAATTTATAGCTGGTTATTAATCCCCCATTCCCCACCCCCCGAAATGTAGGATGGTCTATTTTTCGTAGACACCTTGTGTGGAGAAATTTTAAACCTTTCACCCAAAGACTTGCTAGAAATCGGTAAGTGACCCGAGGTAAAATCCTATTCATTTGAAGGTCAAAGGTCAAATCAATCGTATTCTTGAAATTAGTAGACTACATGCAGTGTATATATAGTGCCATTGAACAATTTAAACTCAAACTTGCTAAAGGGAATGAATATGGCTTGACAAACATGCATTTATTCATATTTAAATAGCCAAAGGTCAAGATCAAAGTTACATGAGTCTTTAATGAACATTGGACACGATGTGAAGATATATGACATTTTCAATTTCATCTTACTAAAGAGATGATCAAGATATACAAGTATACGCTTTTGGGTTGAATGTTCAAAATTCAAGGTCATACTTAGAGTAATATACCGGTAATATCTTACCATAGAGTGTACATGATAGATAGAGTGGTAAAAACTATTTAGAAATTGCTGACCAGAGGAACACGCGCATTTATTCAAGATCAGGTCGAGGGTCAAGTTCTGAGTTTTGAACACTGACCACAGTTGTGGATAAGAAACCTTTTAATGAAATGCTTGGCGCAAAGAGGGACTTGTTATAAATTCCAGGGTGAAGAGGTCAAAGACAGTGATTGGTACTCATTGTTTCCTGAAATTGGATGACAAACTGTCTCGTGTTAACGAATATGTATACTGTATATCACATTTTATTAGCGAGAACTTTATTTTTGCGTAATTACGAGAACTGGCCTGCTTGCAAAATTTAATTCTCGCCTATATTTGTGGTATATTGCGAGGGGATGCCGCATTTTGCAATGTCCGTGTTGCATTTCATGCAATTATACCCTCTTTGTATCTGAAAAGATAATCCGTCCCTTCTTTGCATTGTTTTTAAAACTCAATGATGATATAAATTAATTTTCACATTAATTGCAAATTCTATTATAAGATATGAAATTAAGTCGTGAGAGCAGTGATCGGAAATGGAATTTTCTTGAAATGAGTACTGTAAACCAACTATATGATTCGCGTCATCTTTTATTCGCGATTTGTCAGTTTGAAATCGATCTGCGACGATTAATTTTCGCGACTGAGAACCATTTTCTACAAATACCAAGCAGAATAAATTGTTCGTGGCGATTAATATTCGCGAGTTAAAGTAGGTTGCCAAACTCGCGAATATTTCTCGTGTGCGAATATAAAAGTTGAATTACAGTATATGAGAGGAGAATTCTAACACAAACCAGACATGCCCATAACATCACAAAAACAGTATTATATGAAATTCAAAATAAAAAAAGACCCAATTTCTGAACCTGTGTACCTAAAAGTAACACACAAAATACGTGATCCCTTAAAAAAGCTATAAATTGCCCCATAACATTAACATTTCATTTCTTTTCTAAAGTTAGACATTACAACACAAAATCATACATATCAGAATGCATCTGTCTTTTATTTGTTTGATTTTAAATTCCCAGAGATTCTTATCGGCAAGCTTTTATACATATTTACATGAACACAGTTAATCAGTTAACTTTATCATTAATTGATATGTTAAGAATTTAAAAAAAAAAAAAAAAAAAAAAAAAAAACAGAAATTTTTGTAATAAAAACATTTTTGATGACTGAGCGAAATACTTTTGAATGAACTGTCGGAATGTGGTATATTTACAAATCTATGTTAAGACGACCTCTGGCTTTCGTTGAATACGAATAATAACGCTAATTCATACTTTCAAACGTCGTGCCGTGAAATTCTAGATAAGATCTTTTATGAGCTCTCTACACATGGTATATAATGTGAAAAGTGAAAGTTGTGATCTTATCAAAATATTTTGAAAACAGAAATTTAATATATACATCAGGAGAGTGTTGGCTCGACAGAGGCACTTTACATGCGTTTGCACAAAATGTCTGTCCGACATTAAGATAAAGGGAAGAATCTCTGATATTTGTACAGACCGAGATAATATTGAAATTTTATGGTGAATCGATATAAAATTCTTACATATGTTATATAAGGACAATAAAACAATAAAAACTCTATTCCTTGTTAATTTCTCAGAACTACGCCTATTGTTGAATCTCCGATTTGACTATATTATGTAACCAGCAATTCAAAAACGCATTTCACCGGTAAGCCTTAAGTAGAGATAAGAAGATGTGAATGTAAGAATGCATCGAATTGTTATCATTTCGAGTGCACCCTAAATGCCCCGAGAGAGAAGGAATTTCTTTGCAATTTTAAGTGGATGGTGATGCAGAAGAAAGTATAGGGGGAAAATGCACAAAAAATAGGAAAGGTTCATCTATCTTGTACATGACAGGTCCGTAGGAGCTGGGTGGGGTGGCATGGGAGAAGAGCGGGGCAGCTCTTTTCTATAGGAAAGAAATTTGATTCATACTTTTGCCCATTCTAAAATAACCTCTGGGCTCTGACGACACTTTTTTTTCAAACTTTGCGTGTCAAGTATTTCCAATAGGTCGTGCCCCCTTCCCCAAATGAAATCGCTTCCTACGGGCTCAGATCATCAGAAAAGCTAGTTAAATTGAAGTGATCAGTAATTTGTTAATTGTTGTCTCTTAGCTAAGGATGAAATTAATGTTAAATCCTTACCCTTTCCTGATCATTCCAAGAAAGGGGAACTATTCCAACAACTCAGTTTCTAAATAAGCCGTGCTAGGTCCGTCTTTTAAGAAATATCCAGATTAAACCAGTCTACATCTTTTGAGGTTGATTGATAAGGTATCGTTTATTACGCTATGACCAGATGAGTGCGGAAGACAGTTTTCCGGTACATGACGTTTTATTATAAACATAGATAAGTGGCTTCTTCATCTTCAATTAGGTCAAGAGACTGTCATATTTACTGCCTCCTTTCTGAGAACTACATTTTTCAGCGAGGATCATTTATATTTATTTATCAAGTATGAAAGTAATCCCCTAATTTGACATCAAAGAAAATGGATATAATGAATTAGAATTAGAACGAAGTAAATAACATGCATGTTGATGCCTGTACAATTCCATGCTATGTACCATCCCATTTTTTCTAGTGACAATTTTTTATCTTTTTTTGAAAAACAAATCTACGTAGCAACAGTTGCTCTTCTGGATTTCTTACAAAGATGAATATGTGATTCTCTAGCCTTTTACAGCTGGCAATAAGAAACGTTTGCAGAAATACATGTTTCGGCGAGCATTAACTAATTAATCCTTTGTGACATAAATTAGTCTTAGAGAAATAAGGGGCCATTCATCTTCATTGTTAATGGGCATGAAACAGTTAGAGTTTCCTTGTTTGTGCAAAACATTGCATGTTAATTTTCTAACATTACTCCTGTAAGTGTTTACAATCACAATACTTGTGAAATTAGTTCTAAAAATCTTCCATTTGATTATTTTTTTAAAACTTGTTCTGAATATTTACCATTTGTCTTGTAATAAAATTCCTATTCATAGCTACAGATGAGATCTAGTATTTATACAAGCTATATTTAAACCTACAATAGAAAACACCAATAAACAGAATATATATCTCGTAAACCTGTCATATCGGAGTTTTTTAAGCATGACATGGTTGTATGGGAGGTATGTCCTATAGAATATTGTAGTAGGAGATATAAGATAAAATTACTTACCGTTTTAGAGATTTCCAGATTTTTTATTACAAGCTATATCCATGTAATACAGAATCTGAACCACTCGGGGTCTCTCGGAGACAATCTAAATCACGTGTAACTCCGAAAAAGTGTCTTTTCATATATAAAAATTGCAGTGGCATAGACTAAATCGTGGATTGAACGGAATCCGAGCTCGAGCGTTGTATAATTGCATGGTCATGTTATTCTCATCTAGACTAAGAGATTATTTACAATGGCTTCGCATATTAACACAGTCTCACAATATTTAAGGGTTTGAATATTTTAGTGAATTTTGAACTTTTCCTGTTTAAGATTTTCCCCCAAGTTCTTGTTAGGTGAAGTACACGTACCTCATTTATCCTTTATCTGCCATATCTAATTGATTCAAACAGTCCTTCCATTTAAAGCTAGGGACAAGAACAATTTGAAATGTTGTTTTCTCTTAAATACATTTATGGCTTTAGTAAGAGAATACTGTGGTCTTGAGAACTGTATTCAATATTATTTAAAAAATTAGAGTTTTTAAGAGTAGTATTCAATTTAATACCGGAATTCATTGCAGTGCATGAAAGTTGCCATGAAATGGTAAGGTTTTGAGTTGAAATCTCTGCAAGTTTAAGCCTGACATATGTTTGAAGGGTATAACCTTCGGCAAACACACAACATTAAAAGTAAAAATAAATTAGATTATTAAAAATTCTTTAGTTTGATACTTAAGTTATTTGGTCCTTAACTGTGTGTATTTGGTACAATGTGATTAGAATTAGAAATACTTATGGTTTATGTACATCCCACGAAGCATCAAATGAGTCAAGTTTGAAATGAAATGCTACAAGTACATGCATACGCATTAAATGATTATTTGTCATCGAAAGATCTGGAAACGTAGACGTAAGACCCGATGAAACTTGCTGGACGCCAACCTTGTTTTAAATACTGCTGATTCTGAAATTTATTTCTGCAAATGGGGCTCTTCTCAAACTTTGGTACTACTACAAGTTCATTTTGCCAAATGCTTTTTTTTTTTTTATTAATTTGTAATTAACAGATCTGCGTATGGTCCATCATCTTTCCGTTCACATTTAAAGATTTGCTTTTTTAAAAGATATCTTATTCATGCATGTAATTAAATGCACATTATTTCAACACATTGCAAACGGCATTTTTGACAGAAATGGTCTTTTTATTTTATGAAGGAACAAGCAAATTCAAGGAATTGTTGTGCACCAATTTCGGTGTCGTAGTGGTTTGGAAGCAATTATCAATGGCATATTGTAAATAAACGCACTTGTCAAATATCAATTCCATATTTTCTCCCATTCAAAAGTTATCAGTAAATTAAAAATTTTTGAATATTAGGTCAAATGTCAAGATCAATGTCACGGCGTTAAAAATCATATTACATTTGGAGACGTATTGTCACAGGTAATGCACATATCAATTATTATTGCCCCTTCTTCTCTCTTCTCTTCTGTCTTTTTGAAAAATTAAGTCAAACTGTTATGTCAAATTCACGGAGTCAAATATCAAAGCACGTTTGAAAACGTCTTGTCACAGATAATGCTCATTTCAAATACGAATGCCCTATCTCTTCTCATTCAAAAGTTAAAATCAAATTGAATGTTAATTTTTTTCAAAATTATGTCAAACTTCAAGGTCAAGGTTAACGGGGTCAAAATCATAGTATATTTGGAAATTTGTCACAGATAATGTACATGTGAAATATGAAGACCCTAGCTTTTCTCATTCAAAAGATATGACCAAGGTTAAAGTTTTTGTGACAGACTGACAGACGGACACTAGACAGTTGGACAGACAGGCGGATTGATACTTAATGTCCCCTCGCTTTCGAGAAAGCGGGGGACAATAAAAGTAATTTATTTCATGAAGGGTTATCTCTCTTGTCAGAGGGTCGATAACTTAAAGCCTTAACGAACCTGGGCGTATTATGAATTCTTTTGACAGGACAGGAGTATGGACTTTTGGGGGAAAAACTTTAAACTTTCATTGGATCTTTATTCTTGATGTACCTGAATGACGGAATTTTAACGGAAATTTTGTTTTGATTATTTCATATAGCGAAAGAATTCATTGAAAAAGAGAAATTATAGTTTTACATTTGAATCTGTTTTCTTATTAGTTTTCGTCTCTTGCACCCCCCGCCCCCTTTTTACGAGTAACTTTGTTATGTTTCTATTTCAAAAATCATTACAGTGTAACAAGATCTGTGATGATTTGTTAATTAAGTTTTATAGTCACATCCATGTAACAAGCATATAATGTAATTAATACTGTACACAAATATATTTTTTTGATAGTATATGATATACTCCAGATAAAAACCGATTAGAAAAGTAATGTAGGAACTTCAAATCTAGATTCTATATGTATAAACGATCAAATATTAACAAGAAAGTCTCGAAAGAAAAACACTTTTCATTTTTAACATTCTTAATCTGTCCATTAATATATGTTTCATTTTCCATCTTTGTTTTTTTTTCTTCCTTCAGACATATTGAGATCTTTCTTGGAAGGAAATATCTTTGACACTACGTGATCTTTCAATAGATGCAGAGCAATAGTGTGAGCTCGTCATTATTTTGGCGATTCATGCGGGAGGTATGCACGTGTCTTTCTTTACATTCCCAAAATTCTTCTGTTTTGACAGCGTTTTGAAAACTTCGTGAATAGTTTTTATATACGGCACAAACGAAACTGAGTGAACAGTAGAAAAAAATCTAAAGCTGAACAAATAATTTGTATGTTTATTACACTTGTGACAGAACGTGATTTTTTTATGTGATAAGCGACTGCAAATCCAGATGGGAATCATGTGCAGCTGACACGATCTCGCGAATGTTTTACAGCAATAAGGATTACGTCAAGGTCGTTGAAGCAATACATTGATTGAGATCCGTATTTCCGGTTTACGCTGCGCGCTTTGTTGCAGACGACAGAAGTATTAACATGCAATTAACGCTGCAATTTTACCGCTGATTAAATTGAAACTGGTTATGTCATTCAAAATGAAAGTAAACAGTCTACATCTGGAGAACGTTGAAGGGAGTTTAAATGCAGATAAAGTGCTTACACAATAATATTTCCAGCTAAAATGTTTTGATAAAGAAAATCATCTGTAGCAGTTGGGCACGTAGACGATATAAATTCTGAGGCAATTGGATTTAAGGCGCATTTCATCATTGGAGTGCTTATTGTTACAATTTTTACAACATGCTGTGGAGTGTGACCTAATGACAAGTCTACGAATGTACAGACCAAGCTCTCTACCCTTTCCGGAAATCCAACACATTATAGCCTCCCAAAAGTACACCTCTTACAACTGCAAACATTATCCGGGCCTTGTACCAATTATATTAATTATAGTTCGGATAAAATCATTGTATAATTTACTAGTTGCTGCTTAGTATCATGGGGGATGACGTCTATTCTGTATAAGTTTGTCTATTTGATCTCTGCGAGTATTTATTGTATAAGTTAAAATGTATCCTGCGTCAAATCGTCAGAATAGAGATTAAAGTTTTAGAGAACCTGTAGGATAGTTTTACTGAATTTCTTTCAATTCATACTAGCCAATATAGGGGCCTTAATATATTGAATTATAGTCAAAATACAACTAAATCTTATTGCCGCATTCCCTCCTTTTTTAGTTCACCTACAGAAAACTGGTGTAATAACTCAACCATTAATTAGAATTCAAGATATCTTAATAAAAGTTTTCAAAAATCTTGAAAATTTTCATGATACCTTAAGAATACAATATATATAGAGAGAGACCTATATAAGGCCGTCAGCAAGGGGTTGCGTTGGGTGCGATTGCACCCATTTTTAGAATTAAAAAATGCAATTTTTTTAGACAAGATAATTTCAATGTTTTTCTTTCTAAAGAATTGCTGCTAGATTTTGTTTATCTATATAAAAAATGACTGAGAATGTAGCAGAACCCACAAAAATGATACCTGTTTTTCACTTAGAGTAGGCGGTATCTCTCACAGACACCGCCGCATCCCCCTTTCCCAGAAACCTGACAACGGTCCTGTCATACATGTACGTTGTCTGCAGTGGGGAGGAGGTAGCGGGTCGAATATATTTTCTCTTTAGTATCTTTAATGATTGGAAATATCTTCCTTTTATAATTCATTTTGTGTAAATAAAAATGTACTTTAATTATAAATTCTCTTATAAACAATATTATTGGATCAGGATTATCTGCAGTAGGGGGATGGGAAGCGGTGGATACATTTTTTTCTTTAGCATCTTTAATGGCTATAGGGCTACTTTCTATAATTCATTTCGTATTGAACTAGGTTTTATTGATATTTTAAGTTATAAATGCTATTACATGTAAGGTAAATAATTTACTCTTCTTCATATCTAAAGAGATTTATTCGATAATTGGCTACTGATATACACTATGTATTTATGGCTGAAAATGTTCAGTTATTGCCCCAGTTACTGTAACTTGTGTATAAATGACCATATTGTAATTATACCATGGCAAAAGATTTAAATTAAAAAAAAACAAGGTTCTTTCTCCCAATAGTCTGCCTCAGAGCTAGATGTAGGTCAAGGTCATAAAAAATCCTAAATTTAGGTCATATGTACCAGACTCTATTGTATAAATATAGGTTAAATCCATGTTTAGAAACATTCTCAACGCCGGTCTTAAATCAGTTCAAAGAAACTAAATCTTCTTTTTCTTGCCCATGAAGATAAATTTGTCACTACAGATTATCATCTCTACTATTATGGGATTAACGGATACAAAACTTTCAGTATGCAGGTTTGGTATGCAGGGCCTGTACATGGTATAATGTTGCACTTAATTTCCTTCCAATGAGGATGTTGTGCAATGGAGGAAAGATTTATGTATTCCTTAATGCCAGAAATTGGAGAGTTAAATTGACCTCTGCATGTCAACTGAATATCAGAGGGTCTGAAAATTAAGTCTGGTTTTCAGTTTGATAAATGGAGGCCACTGATCCCTATAACCTTACTGAGGACATAAAATATGGCACTGGTCACACTGGGTATCACATGACCAGAAACATGCAGTCT